ACGCATTTTGATAATCAGAGAATGTTTATCAAAGTTACAGGAGAAAAGAGGACAGATGTCTTTTCTCCCTCAGTATGATTTCAGCCATGTATGGATTTTCTGTGGAAAAAATCTTATTTAACTAAAATAATCTTTATGGTTTAAGTTGATGAAACGTCAATGTGTATTTGTTTGAATCATATTTGCAAATGTTTTGAATTTGAAGTAATTCATTCTTCCAGTTATGTTTTTAAAGAGTTCTCATCAGATATAAACTAAACAGGTCATGATATGTTTTGTTTCTGAACTACACAGAAGCAATAATCTTTGTTTAGCTTCAGGAGGCGACGGCAAGTCTCTGAATTAACACATTCCCTGATATCTTCCTTTTCTATTCTAACCTCTGAAGACAGAACTAAGAAAATCCTCTTTAAATCACTAACACAGTTTCCGCCCGGAAAGTCCAAGAGCCAGAGTTTTTATTTTGAAATCGGGATTCAGTTTGGCATCGCCTTTCTTCCTACGGCTTGACGCGGTTGTACGCAGATGCTGAAGCACAGGCCTGGAGGGTTCAGCTGAGTGGGCGATCCTGACAAATTTTCTACTAACTGAGAGACCTTCCCAAATACCTGGATAGGTGACTGATCTCTTCTTTAAAGGTAAAGGTGGCTGTTACAAGCATTGCTGTCTGGCTGACGCTGAGCGAGGAGACGCCTTTTCTCTCTGGTTAACCCACATTTATTTAAGTTAAAAGTTAGGAAAGCTAACACCTTACTTTCCTCCTTTTCTTAAACCTCCCTTGCCCAACTAAGTTATTTGCCTCAAATGTCTGGTGTTCAACATCTAAAGCTTGATGTTTGTGTTCTATTTAAGTGATTGATTGACAATTAACGAAGCTCGAAGTGTGCTTGTTATTGTTGGTTCCAAACTTTTATAGGAAATTGATTGCTCACAATTAAGTGTACTGTAGTGATTTTGTGTGATTATGTAAAATAAATGATCGCATTTATTTATGGATCAAATCAAAATTCATTAACTGAAGCCACTTATTGTGTTGTCCCATTCACTTTGCACCGGAAGAATATTTACCAAAAACAAAAAGATCCTTGCTAAAATAATTTCCTTATAGCCTTGTTATAAGAAGGTAGGTGTGAATCCTACACTGCAAAAAAGGACAGCATTGATTTTCACTTGAGTGTGCAAATCAGTGTTACTGCACACTCAAGTCTGTGGCACATATGTAACACCATAGTCCAGGGTGTACCTCGCCTCTCACACAATGACTGTTGAAGATTGGCACCAGCTTCCCCTTGACCCAAAAAGGAGAAGTGCATAAAAGAAAATAGATGAGTATACAATGAGGGGGGGAGCTGTTATGTTGGTGAGACTTACTGGAGAAGGYGAGTTCAGCTAGAGGTATGTCACAGTCCAGGCAGTCATCAATGAAACAAATGCAGATTCTCTCTGCCTTCACCTCCACCCCAGACAGAAGAGCAGAATAACTGCTGGTGTTGGAGCCTGCATTGGCTCTGGAATTTTCCACCATGTTTTCTGCGTTCTCCAGCAGCCACGTGGCAGCCTGATCCAGATGACCTACAAAACACRAGTTAGTGGTCAGGTCAGATCTACACTTAGGTTAGAAGGTATGTGATACAGTATTATCAAACTTTCTCACCTTTGCAATAGGTCAGGGCTCTTTTGCAGTCCGTCTTTGTAAAACCAAGGTTCTGTAAATGGCTAAGCTTGATTTCTGCAGAGTCAAAAAAGTCAAAAGTTTTAACATACTCACACAGAAAAAAAATGAAACATTTAAACCATGGCCACATAAAAACCTCTGATCTAACAGTTCTTTGCAAAAAAGGTGTAAGTCTTAGCAACTGATGGTAGAAGGTAGAAATGACTCAGCCTGTAACTGAAAATATGGATGGAGGACAACAGAGCTGCTTCATGGAAGAAGAACCTCAGCTTAGCCTG